AGAGGCAGCCGATCAATGTTTCTCTCTCTCTCTCTCTCTCTCTCTCTCTCTCTCTCCCCCTTCCCCTCTGTCTAAAATCAGTAAACATATCCCCTGGTGAAGATTTTTTTTTAATTCCACTTTTCTCAAGTGATGTTGCACCACTTTTCCTGTGCGTATTGGCAATTGGGCAACCTCTTTCTGTGAAAGTCTGTTTCGCTCACCTCCAAAGATGCTCCCCAGTGACCCAGGCGCGCCTCGGGGGATTCATGGTCTCTGGAGCCCCTTCCTTCATTGACTCTGGGCGGCAGAACGCGGCAGAAACGGCGCTGTGCCGCTTCAGGCCTGCGCTCAGAAGGCACGGCAGCGTCTGCTTTGGAGCGCCCTGGAGTCCTGAGCCACCAGTAAGAGGGCTCTTTATTTATTTATTTGCCTACTTACGTATTTACTTATTTATTTCAGGGAGGAAAGGAGATTTCAGGGAGGAAAGGAGGAGAGGGAGAGATAGAAACATCAATGATGAGAATCATTGATTGGCTGCCTCCTGCACGCCCCCTACTGGGGATCCAGCCCGCAACCCGGGCATGTGCCCCTGACCGGAATCGAACTCAGGACCCGTCTGTCCGCAGGCTGACGCTCTAGCCACTGAGCAAACCGGCTAGGGCCTCTGTATAAACGTGAGATTTGGGTGAATGGGACCGAGAGCTACTCCTTTCCGAGAGCTACTCCTTTCCGTCACCCGAGTCCCGCCTCGTCTGTAAGTCCCGGGCGTGGGAAGCCTGCCACCTCCGTGGGAGGGTCTGCCGCTCTCTCCAGTCTCTCCTTGCGCTCCGTGCATGGAGGCCAATGGCGAAGCAACGCCAGGTGGAGTGGCCACACGGAGAGAACCCGTTTTGGTTTTGGTCAGAGAGAAAGGTGTGAAGACAGGAAAGGGTCAGAGCAACGCAATGTTGAGGCATCTGAAGAGGAGGAAAGGGGCCGGGCGCCCAGGAGTGAAAGCAGCCTGTGGCCGCTGGGAAAGGCAAGGAAATGCATCCTCCCTTAGAGCCCCCAGGGGGCAACACGGCCCTAAGGGCCCGTATGTTAGCCCGGCATGTCAGACTCTCACCCTCAGAATCGTAAGATAATACGTCTGTGTTGTTGTTGTTTTTAATATATTTTATTGATTTTTTTACAGAGAAGAAGGGGGAGGGATAGAGAGAAACAACAATGAGAGACAAACATGGATCAGCTGCCTCCTGCACACTCCCTACTGGGGATGTGCCCGCAACCAAGGTACATGCCCTTGATCGGAATCGAACCTGGGACCTTTCAGTCCACAGGCGGACGCTCTATCCACTGAGCCAAACCAGTTAGGGCTACACTTGTGTTGTTTTAAGCCACTAAGTGTAGGATACTTTGTTGGGTCAGCAATAGAAAAAGAATATATTTCCCCTTCCACTAGCCAGAACCAGCAGAGAACTGTGTCTCCAGGTGTTGTGTCTCATACCCAGAGGCATGCCCCATAAAATTATGTTATTGGCTGTGGTTTGATTGTGGTGTTATTGCCTGGCACTGGGCAGCACTATAAAAACCAGCCTTGTGAAACTCTTTGCTGCTTTGCCAGGCTACGTGTGGAAGATTCCATTACACCAAGTGTCCTCTTTGTGAGTTCCTGGAAGAGAGAGAGACCTGCTCCGGTTTGTCTCTCTGCGTTTCAGTTCGGAAGCTTAGAGCGGTGATTCTTTTTTTTTTTTTTTAATATATATATATTTTTTATTGATTTCAGAGAGGAAGGGAGAAAGAGAGAGAGATAAAAACATCAATGATGCCCTGACTCCTTTGGCTCAGTGGACAGAGCGTCGGCCTGCGGACTGAAGGGTCCCAGGTCAGGGGCATGTGCCTTGGTTGTGGGCACATCCCCAGTGGGGGGCGTGCAGGAGGCAGCTGATCGATGTTTCTCTCTCATCGATGTTTCTAACTCTCTATACCTCTCCCTTCCTCTCTGTAAAAAATCAATAAAATAAATTAAAACAAAACAAAACATCAATGATGAAAGAGGGTCATTGATTGGCTGTCTCCTGCACACCCCCTACTGGGGATCGAGCCTGCAACCCAAGTATGTGCCCTTGGCCGTAATTGAACCTGGGACCCTTCACTCCACAGGCCGACACTCTATCCTGAGCCAAACCGGTTAGGGCTAGAGCAGTGATTCTTAAACAAGGTGTCTTAGGGTGGAGGAACTATCAGAATTACCTGGGCAGCTCTTCAAGCTGGCATTGCTCAAAGGTAGAAAAGACAGGGAGCGTGTGTAGTAGGGTGGTTAGAGCAAGGCGTGCATGCCATGAAGACCCTCGCTGTGAACTGCTTGTTCCAATCAGTTAGTTCTCAAACATTTCAGTCTCGGGGCCTCCTTATAGTCTTAAAAATTATGGAGGAATCCATCGAGCTTTTGCTTATGTGGGTTATATCCTTCAATATTTACTGCATCTTAAATTAAAACTGAGAAATATTTGCCCTGGCCAATGTGGCTCAGTTGGTTGAGCGTCCTCCCATGAACTGAATGGTCGCCGGTTCGATTTCATCAGGGCACATGCCTGGGTTTCGGGCTCAATGGGCATGCAGGAGGCAGCCGATCCGTGTTTCTTTCTCATTGATGTTTATACCTCTCTTTCCCTCTCCCATCCTCTCTCTCTAAAACCAATAAAAACATTTTTTAAGAAAAGAAAAAAAAGCCTGGGAGGGGGCAGGAGTGGGATGGAGGGAGTCAACGGGGGAAATAGGGGGGATATTTGTAATACTTTCAACAATAAAGATATTTTTTTAAAAAGAAAAAAATGAGAAATACTTAAAATATTCATTTATTTAAAAATAACAAATCTGTTATATGTTAATGGAAACCTGCAGATGTTTCTCATCTCTGCTTCTGCACCCAGCCCTTTGGGATATTATATATCAAGGAGCCTTTGAAAACCTACATGGCACACTTGACATCATGAAAATAGTTTGGGCTTTGGGCACCCCTTGAAAGGGTCTTGGGGACCCCTCCAGGAGCTCCCAGACTATATTTGAGAACTGCTGCTCTAAGACAATAATTCTTTTATTGCTTAAAATATTACAAAGAGTATTACATATGTCTCCTTTTTTTTTCTCTCTCCTTGACCTTCCGCTGGCCTCCTCTACTCCCCAGTGTCTTGTGTCCATTGGTTATGCTAATATGCATGCATACAAGTCCTTCAGTTGATCTCTTACCCACCCACCCCCCCGCCAACCCTCCCTGGCCTTCCCGCTGTAGTTTGACAGTTTGTTCGATATTGCTCTGCCTCTGTATCTATTTTTGTTCATCAGTTTATAATGGTCTTTATTATCCATAAATGAGTGAGATCATGTGGTATTTTTCTTTCATTGACTGGCTTATTTCACTTAGCATAATGCTCTCCAGTTCCATACATGCTGTTGCAAATGGTAAGAATTCCTTCTTTTTTATAGCAGCATAGTATTCCATTGTGTAGATGTACCACAGTTTTCTAATCCATTCATCTGTTGATGTAAGACAATAATTCTTTTCTTTCTTTTTTTTTTTCAGAGATAGAAAGAGACAGAGAGAAACATTGATTTGTTGCTCCACTTATTGAAGCAGGGAGAGACTGGGAACTAAAAAGCCCCATCTCATTCTCCTCCTACCCTCTAATCGTCTACCAGATCCTTCCGTGTCTGAAACCTACCAGAAGCCAGGGAGTCCGTGATGTGGCCCATAAGGGTCACTCTCTGGGGGAACAGATCGGCATGGAGGAGGGTGGAGAATAAACATGGAGGTGAGGGCCTGGACGGTGTGGCTCAGTGGTTCAGTGTTGACCCGTGAACCCAGAGGTCACGGGTTGGATTCCAGGCAGGGCACGTGCAGATTGACAACGGCTGCATTCCACTGCAGGCACAGCTGCTGGCTGGCCCTGGCAGCGCTCTCTCTTTCTTGGTTCCAGTAACTTCTCCCTCTCTGTCTCCTCAGGCAGGGCTCTCCATGGTTGCTAGCCCCGGGGTAGCAATCCCTTGCTGGTTTCCGTTAACCCTGCCTACACCTTTGTAAATAGTTCCTTCATTGAACTCTCCTCAATTTCTTTTTGAGATTCCATATCTGTGGTGTTTATTTTTAAAGATTTTTTAAAATTGAAAGGGGGAGGGAGAGAGAGAAACATGGATGGGCTGCCTCCTGCACGTCCCTACTGGGAATCGAACCGGCAACCTTTCTGTGCACAGGAGGACACCCAGCCGCGCCACACCGGCTAGGGCGCCATATGTGTAAGGGGCTTGTAGCGATATAAGCTGAGGGGTTGAGTGACTTCCCCAAGGTCACACAGAGGAAGTGGGAGGACCCCTGAGAGGACGTCTTCCAACACAGAGAAAGGTGGCGTCCTTTGCCGGCCTTGCCCACCTGCCCAGCCCCGTCCCGGAATCTTGGGCCCTGCCCCACCTGCCGGAATCTGTGATCCTTTTGTTGGGATGGGATTGTATTCCCGAGGGCTCCCTTCCCGGACCTGGCCCGCAACTTCAGTAACCAGAGCTGTGTGAGAAGAAAAGCCCAGGCCACTAGGGTAGCCACACCCCAAACAGAGGTGAGGTCTCAGGTGAGTCAAGCCAATGAGGGGCCACCTCTCCTGTCCCGAAGGCCACTGCTCACCTGTAGCCCTGCCTCACCAGCACTGGCCTCCCAGCCCCTGGCTATCCTTTCGTCCTTTGCCCACAGGGCTCTCCGCTCCTCCCTCCCACACCCAACAGGTGTCCTGTAACTAGGACATCTGCCTCCCACCCCCGCGCTGGGCCTCCAGAGATGTGAGATGGGACAGGGCTGGGCCTTCAAGCTCCCTACTTCCCCCTTCCAACCCCAGATCCTCTCAGATTCCCAGAGATGGGCTCTGGCCAGGGAGGGTGGGGCTGCTCCTGAGATCATCAGGAGTCACGGGCGCCGGCCGCCTAGACAGTGACAGAGCTGTGGCAGGGAGCAGACCGTCACCCAGCTCTGTGCCTCCAGTTGACTCAAATGTGCCATGTTCCCGCACCTGCTTCTCCCACTCGTGACCCTCGGTAACCGCAGGAGGCAGAGGATGGCTGCCAGGGGCCTGGGTCCTAGCATCTGAGGAGCTGGAAAGCAGGACCCCCGAGCTCTGCCCAGCGAGGCTGGTGTCAGAAGGGGAGGGGGCCATCTGGAGATGGAGGGAGTGAGGTGGCAAGAGGGAGAAACTGTGTGAGAGGAGGGAGAGAGGAGGCCTGGCTGCAGCGGGAGAGGGAGTAGGTGGAAAGCCAGGAGTGGGGCGGGCAGGCTGTGAGTGAGGGCTCCAGCTCTCCCTGCTTCCTCTTTCCAGCCATCAGCCCCATCCCAGGAGCTCCCCAGGATCCAGGTAAGGCCGCTGACCTGGGGAAAGGCAGGTGCAAAGGCAAAAAGATAGGAGGGGCCTGGGTGCTGGGGCAGGGGGTGCTGAAGGGCAGGGAACTGGGGAAGAGGACGAGGGTGGGGGTGAAGGAAGCTGAGGCCTGGGCAGTGTCAGGGCCGGAATCGCCAGCATCTTCCTCTCTTTACCGTCTGACTCCCAGCTGCAAGTCCTGCTCAGGAAGAACCTGGAGATCTGGGTGAGCAGGGGCTGGAAGCGGGAGGGTGGTCTCGGGTCTGAAAGGAGGTTGAGGCTGGCTAGGCCACGAGGGAGGTGGAGAGGACCGGAAACCTGCAGGTGCCCAGTCCTCTGTTCTCTGTTCAGGGCGGCACACTGGAGTGGGGTGAGGAACGGAACTTGGTCCTAAGCTACCGGGGCCTCCGGGGTGGGGGGCAGGGACGGGATATGACCTCACGGTACCCCGCTGCAGACTGTGGTCGCCCTGACCCCTCTGCCAGAATCGTGGGGGGCTCAGACGCGCAGCCGGGCCGCTGGCCGTGGCAGGTGAGCCTGCACCACAGCGGGGTGCACATCTGCGGGGGCTCCCTCATCGCCCCCTCCTGGGTCCTCTCCGCCGCTCACTGTTTCGTGTGGTGAGTATTCACCCCTGTCCAGCTCCCCTCCTTCAAAAGCCAAACTGCTTGAGCCCGTGTGCACAGCTAATTTGGAGACTAGCTGCCTCCACACACACACCCTCCCCCCACCTCCACCCCGGAGCTGGGTGCGCTGCGGGGTGTCCTGGCTCTGAATGCGCTGATGCTGCTAACTGTCCAAGTCAGAATTACGTTGTCCCCATGCCCAACCCACCACCTGCCGTCCCCCCCCCCCTCCTGGCCCCCAGACTCCATTGCCCCAGCGAGGGGGGGTTCCCGCTTTTCCCCCCCCAAGGTGGCCAACCTAA